TATACTTCTCCAAGGTGTCACCATAATATTTAAATATATACTTACCTTATCTTGTTTTATTTAATGAAAGCACATGAGCCCCATTTACGTCGTTTTTCTTCAAAATTCTTTCTTACTTTTTCTCCCCCACATAGATTAGCCATATAGTCTTCTTTCATGACTAATTTCAACAACAGATGAAATATTAATATTTTAATATTATTTTATTTTAAAATTCTTTACTTGTCTCATCAGGTCTCAATGTATTCCACTTTGTCCCAGTTCACTTCCAAATTGCATTTTTAACTCACTAATTCATCCTTAATAAAATATTATTATTTTATTATTATTCTCTCGTGTATGAAATATTTTATTCTAAAATATTTCTTTTCACTCGTCTATGCTCTTTTTCACTTAAATTAGCATCAATTGCCCTCGTCCTATCGACAAGGTCGTATTGACTTTTATACGAAGGTATGGGGTGTTACACTTGTTGACTTTCTCGTGTTAGTCTTCAAAATGTCCTCTCGATTTCTGAGTTGTATGAGATATCTCTAAGTTTCGTGCCCTGTGCATACAATGTTGAATGCACTTAAAAAACACAAAAAAAGAAAAAGCTTAGTGTAAGACAATTTGTTTAATTTAATATCAACAAAGATAAATAAGAAAACAAATCCCCAACAACGGCACCAAAAACTTATTGTTGGTTTAATATATGCAAGTGCACGTGGTCGTACAAATAATATAAAGGTAAGTTAAGTATTGTTTGCCATAGAGAATTACCCTTATTCTTACTAAGTATTAAAGTTTATCCTATTCGAGTACTCAATTTTAAATGATTAATTAATCTTAAAGCAATTACCAAAACTAAGTAAATAAAAGAAAAATAAAATTTTACTAGACAAAATATTAATTCAAAAGCCTAGAATTATGGTGTTTCTCAATATTTCATTTGGATTTAATCATTGTCCTTAACTTAGATTAAATGGGTACACAACTAACCTAAAATCCATACTATGTATAAGTCTCTGTCAAGATCATGTACATATACCTTTCGAAACTAATTCTATATGTCTATGTAAATTAATTAGAAAAGGTTCATTACGTTCGTGTTCTAATTTGGCTATCTAAGGTATTTAGGTATGTGTCTATCATAAAAACGAAACTATCACTTAATTCCAAAGTGAATCAAACATAAGCTATTCAAAACAATAGTTTATTCTAAACTCCCTCTATTGAGTTACATTTAGAGAACCAATACATTTCAACTAGTGATCAAGTAGTGAAAAGCAAGTAGTGAAAAGCAATAAGCATAGAATTAAATAAACCATGCAACATTCATTAATACTAACCAAAGAGAAATCAGATATTCAAACTACATATTGAAAAAAACCATAATCTTGAAAAACAAATTTAGTTTATCATCATTTCTACAACAGACATAACTATTTTAAAAGAAAATATCCTTTCTATGATAAAAGACAAAGCAAGGAACTAAAACCTAAAAGGAAGAACAAAGCCTATGTCAATTCTTGATCTTCAATTTCCTTTAATTTCTTCTCGTTTCTCTTGGTGAAAAGACTTTTTTATTCCTTCTCAAAACTACCATTTGTTCACTCTTAATTCTCTCTCATTCAGTTATTAAAAATCACATATTTGTAGCCTCTAAAAAACCCTAAAAATTCAATTCCTAATTGGCTAAAATCACTTAATCCATGTCAGTGTCATGGCTTTGCTCCATGGGCGCCACAGCACTCTAGTCTTGTATTGTTTTTTTCATTGTCCTTCAACCAGTGCAGCAACCCTCCTCATTGGCAGCTGCGGCATGAGTTCTCAGGTTTTTGTATGGGAGTAGTAATGTTCCCTTGGGCTCTACGGCCTTGAGTGCTTTTTGGCCGCGACACTGCTCCTTGTAGACCATTGGTGCAGAAACTACTTTAGTAACTCATCTTGCCATGTGATTTTCTTCTATCTCAAGGCTAATCTGGGAAGAATGGTAAACATGAAGTTGTAGGACGACCTCCTACCTTTCCTATGATTCAAGAATCACGTTGAGTGAATCTTTGTAGCTCGAGTTATGTCCGAATTACCACAAAATGTTCAATGAAAATCTACAGTTACCATTTAGCTTTATGCACTTGAACACCTACCGAAACAAGGTCTAAATCAATATTAGCTTAAATTGAGAGTTTCAACATTTAAATGAACTGAAATTATGTAAAATTAACTACACCAATATATCTTAAACTAAATAATAAAATGCATAAAAACTAACTTAATCTAACTAATTTAGCAACCAAAATGTAACTAAATAACTCTATATCAAAAAGTTTTTGACAAAAATCACATGTCTTCTTGAACTTAATGTCAAGCATTTGAAATTGTCTCAATTACATTTTTAGTCCCCTGAGTTTACAAAATTGTTTGAAAAGCCGTACATCCTGAGAAAACATCTTACAAGCTTTCAAACAATACATTTTCAACTAAGAAATCAAGACCAAATATGCCTTGAATTGTTTCTTGAATATAGGTACAAGGCAAATGAAAAAGTAGCTAAAGAAAAGCATCAAAAGCTAAGGGAACTTCAAGACACAAGTCAAGAGTCCATCCTAGAAAAGCTTAAGTCTATCTAAAGGTTGAAAGAGTATAAAACTTGAAGATTATAAACCCTTAGTTGATTAAAAAAGAAGCATAGTCACCCTTATTCCAGAAAGATTAAGAAAATCAAGTTCAAAATAGTCATAGTTGACTACAGAGGAAGTATAGTAGACCTTGTTCCAAAAAGACCATGAAAATCAAGCTAAAGAATAGCCACAATCAACTACAAAAAAGATATAGTTGACCTTGACAAGTCAAAGGCTAGAAACTATCAACTTTAAAAGCCATAGTCGACTATAAGAGAGGCATAGTCAACTATAGAAGGTCAAACTTGAAGAATACATGCTCTCTAGAAGTGGATCGTCTAGAGAACATATACACTCGACTATGGAAGGCCTAATTGAGAAATTTGAAGAACATAATCAACCCTAAAAGCATTGTACTTGACCCTTAAGCTTCAACAATGGTCAGATTTGATTCAAACTTATGTTTAACTGCTTTAAATCATGCTCTAGCTATAAATAGACGCATTTGAGACATTTTGAAGCAATAAAAGACTTGAGATAAAGTTTCAAACCTTACAGAGACTACCCACAAGCTTATCTTCACTCTCTAGCATCCTTTTAGTCTTCCATCAAGCCTTTAAAGTTGAATCCTTGCTTTATTCAAGCCAAAATTTCTTCTCTCACTACAAACAAGTTTAAAAATCTCAACACCAAACCTTTGTAAAGGCATTTCATTGTAAAGGCTATAGCTTAACCTTGAAAAGTTATCTTGTAAAGGTTATTGCTTCCTATCAAAAAGTAAGAATCCTTTGTGGATTGCATGGGTTACCGCTTGATCCCTTAAAGAGCAAGAATCCTTTTTGTGGATTGTAAGGGTTACCGCTTGATTTCATAGAAAAGCAAAAATCTCATGTGGATTGTGTAAGGGTTATCACTTTCTATTAAAAGCAAGAGGTCCTTGTTAGTGTATTGAAATTCCTTAGTTACCAAAAGAGTGGATGTAGACATCAAAAAATTGAACCACTATAAATTGTTTGTATCTCTCTTTAGTTTTCACATTATTATTTTATTGTCCATACTTGCCTTAGAAAAAAGATTTATATCGATTTATTTTTTTTCTTAAAAAAAAAATTCTTGATTTGCTATATTTATACTTAGATATTTATTGTTAGATATTTGTTTTTAGTGTTGGAAAATATTTTTGGTTAAAAAGGTTTGTTTTGTATAAATATATTTTTTAAAATAATTTTATAAATACCAATTCACCCTCCTATTTGTATATTGTTATTGAAAAAGCCACAACATTATTATTTAAAGGAAGCAACAACACATAGTGAACATAATGAGCATTATAGCTATATCGGATGCATAGTAATTAAAGTAATTCAAAATAAGTGGTAACATTTACAAATTAGTATATCCATTGAGATATTCTAAAAGGTTTGACTTGATAATTCAAAAATGAAAAAAGTAATTAAGAGATTTTCCTTTTAATCTTTTCTTAATTTCATTTTTTCTTTTTCCTCAAAAACACGTGACACAATTTTAAGTTTCACTAAATTCCATTACATCATTAAGGCTAAGTATCTATCAATTACCTCAACATATGCAATGGGCTAACATGTTCTTTCGAAATCAATTATATGTCCTTATCAATTACTACTCTTGGTGTATACATAGAAGTCTTGTCCATTCATTAAAAAATACTAAAAACTCAACACTCCTCTCCAAGATACTCTCTCTCAAGCCCTCTCTTGACTCGTCTGAAATACTTTTTATTATTTAGTTCTTTCTACATTATTATCTTCCTTGCTCTACCACTATACTTTTCTAAATTTTATTCATCACCGTTTATCACAAACATTTTAAAAACTGCTTCAATCTTATTCTCCATCTAACACTAAGCATTTTAAAGACTTGCAATTTAACTCGACTCTTGCCGCCTTACCTACTACCTAGCTCCGGTTTTACACTTTCCAGATCATTTTCCTAGATTTTATCCATCATCTCTTATCATAGCATAGCATTCAACATTTCAAAATCTCTCTGATTTTTCTTTCTTTTGCTTCTAATGCATCTTGCTTTACTTCTTGTAATCCTACCTCTTCCTATCATAGAACCCCTCTCCACTATCAATACACTTAACTTTTCTTTATCTTAGCCTCGGTACAATTTTGAACAATTCCCCCATTATATAAATATTATAAGAGATATATATGCAGCTGGAGGCAGGGGAGTCTTTGAGCGAAGAAGGCATGCACAAATACATTACATACATATATAAAATATAGTACATAAATTAATAAAACTATTAAAAGAGGAAAGGAGGTATGGTTACGTATCATAAACTCCTCTTCTCTCGCAACCATGAGACGCTCAACAATCTTCGCAAAAGTGCATTAAGCTAAAAGGACACTCTTTTCATTGTAAATATGCTGTAAATCCTAATAGAGCAACCTGCAGAAGCAATCCATCTTGACTGATTCCTGTAACAACTAGAAACAATTTCAAGTATTCTCCCATTACAAACTAAACTTACAACTCTGTATACCAATAACTTCACCAAAAAAATTGAAGCCAATGCATTTGAGACCACTCGGAATCCATATCTCTAACAGAAGAAACAACAACCCTCCTCTCCTAGTCTAAAAGAAATGCCAACACTCACCTAAAAAAGAGGTGGAAAATTGAAGAATGATACAAAATGAAGAATAAATAAAACAGCAAAGACAAGATCAAGTAATTTTGGCTAATAAACAAGATGGGGCCTCAGCAAAACAGCCCCTCCAATATTTCCTTGATTCTTTCCATTATGATACAGGTAACATATTCAACTCAAGTGGCTTTAACGCTCCCTGAACAATCTCTTGAACTGTTCGATTACGACGACAAACATCAGATAACTCTTCAACTGGGACCATCAGGGCATTCACATCCGCCCCAGAGGCAGCATCTGATAATGCTTGCAAAAATCTTGAGCGCTCCACCTCCTTGACCGCAGTCAATGGGATCAATGAAACACTTTCCTTCGCCCACTCCAGGGCTTGCATCCCATATGCTCGAGTTAATGCTAGAAGTGCATACGCCACCTGGAGTAGCAAATAGCCCCATAAAAATTGCATGAATCAAATTTTCGCCAATAAGATTTAACTTATTCTACTAATCATTAATGTATCAACGTCAGTGTGCATAAAAGATAAAGAATACAACAAAGCAGTAGAAGCTACCGTTTCTAATCGAGAACTTGGGAGTGCTCCTGTTAGGGCTGCCACCAAAATTCTGGTAATGGAAGCACCTCGCGGAATAATCACACTATCCCTGATAGATAAAAACTGTTCTCCCTTGCTGGACTTTGCAAGATCAAAAATATCAGACAAGAAGGTCAAAACGGAATTAGAGGCCTCCCTGCAAATAAAAAATGGTCACAAAATAAGTCTCTAAAACATGTATTATAAAATCATAATTACCTTTGATAGCAATTGAATGTCATCTCATTTTGGGACATTGTAAAATAATTTCCTCTTTCCCTTCTTGGGTCATCTCAAAATCCCATTTATTCCTCCTTCCAAGCACCATTTTTAAAAATGATTTTTACTTCTTTTTTTTTTTTTTTTGCATTAAAAGAAACCATAAAACTTCAAGTACTTAATATTTGAGGAAGGTTCAGAAAGTCAATATAAAAGGCCAAAAGTTAAAGGTTTCTCTTAAAACTACATGCCAAACAGGAGGAGCAACCACATATATCTGATGAACCTTTTGCTTATAGGCTAACTGTCAGCAACAAGTGTCTTACAAGAAGGATGTACCACAGGTATGTGCAACAGACATAAATATACGCAGACAAACCCAGAAATAAGCTCATGAAATAAACACAGGCAGCAAGAAATAAAGAGGCTATACCTGTGCTGTACTGTGATCCCAATCATCGAGCAATCAACTAAAGCTGGAAACACAGCAGAAGGGAAAAATAATTGAGGACAATAGCGAATGCACCTTGATGCCAACAGAAAACAATCATCTGCTATGTCTGGTCTTGTAGTGAATTCCTGCAGCAACAAAATATGTACAAGTTGACCTATATGCCAATTTAAATAACAGAAAAAACAAATACAGCAGTCATTGAAACCACACCTTAATATTTGTGAGAAGACATGTTGTGTGCTTGAAGAGTGCTTCAATCATATTTTTCAGGTAGCTTGCACAAGAGGGGTCAGAGCCAAATATCTGCAGCACAAGTGGCACTGACTTCTCAACATTCAATCAAAACGAATAAAATGTAAAATTAGCAATATCAACAAAGAAAGACAAACCTTTATAACTTCACTAGAGAGATAAAGGAAGCATGGCTGGTGGTGTTGTTGATACAGGCCTTGAATTTCTTCAAGAATTGCTCCAATTGTGATTCCCATAAACCTTCCAGAAGTTCTCACCTAGTAAAAAAAACTATGAGATCATTGCCACTGCCTAATAAAGCTGATTATTTTCAGACAAGTGAGTGCTAAAAGGAAATTCGTTCACTTTCTTTTTCTTCTCTCCCAGGTTATGGGAAATAAGCCAAGGAATTAACATGATCCTTGGATTTGATCCCAGAGCCTGTGAGGTGCATATGTCACTGGAGAGGGTACCAAAGCCTCTTGGCAAAATACCAGGCCCAGCTAAGAATACACCTGAATAACATACTTATAGCAACTACCCCTACAGAGTAAGGACTACCATTCCACTTGACCTGTAGTAATTACACAATTAATTTAACAACTTCTCGCTAGAGCCATTCAGATACCGTCCTCTAGAGATGCACATGTTATCATTTGGGACAGCTAGGTTGCACACCCACACAAAATACAAGGGGACAAAATGCAGAATATGAATTTAAGAGAAGTAGAACTACAAAAAGATCAAATGGAACAGATTCAATTCACTTAAGAAAGTAAAACTCCTTAGCTTAAGTAAAATGGTAAGAGGCATACCACATTCCACAGGAAAGCAAACTAATTCAACAGTCGCATACTGAGAATATAATTATATAATTGAGGAATCCAATTTGTAACATAACATAGACGTTGATGGGAGAATGCCGAATTTGTATCTAAGATGTGTGGCAGAATGTTAATTGACAATCAAACTTCTAAATTCAGCTATTAAACATCCATTTTTTCTGAGCCAACTCAATAATACTAACACAGCACAGCAGACTCACAGCATATTTGCAAGCACGACAAAGAGACTCCATAGTCCGCATGTCCCAAGCACGACTGCATCAGAAGCATTGAAAGCTCAAATCAGGTAAAAATCAGAAAACTAGGACACTGACACATTGATGACCTATTTAGGAAGTTGTTCAATACTTACAGATCAAATAAGGCTTTAAATATTGGCCAAAGCCTGTGGATCGCATCTGCGACTGCTCCAGGATGATTTACATACCTAGAATTGGTTCCAGTTGCATGGTGAAAAAACCTCAATAAACCAACAGAAACCATAAAAAATGAAAAAGGGGAGGGCAGAGGGAGGGAACATTTATCTCACCGAAAAATATATGCAAATCGATCAATGTGAACTGTTAATTCACGAGCATGTTTCTTCTCTAAAACTCCTGGACCTTGGTTGATAACTTCCTAATAATCATGTCATAAATATGACCCATTGTCAACAAAAACAAAATTAAGTATTATAAAAATTAAGCTTGCGGGAAACAAATTAACCTGTAAAGGAGTAACAACTGATGAGCACAGTTCCTCCAAGGCATCCTTAGCAGACTCTGGTGGAAGTTCGGTAATAACCATACTGAGGAAATAATTTATCAGATATTAATAAAACAAGTGGCCAATGTAAAACCATAAGTAACCATCAATATTTTTAGCCCCTATAGTTGCTGAGTAACAAACCCACCTCAAAGCTTCAACTAAGTGCAATGAGTCCTCAGCAGAGCCCTTAAAACTACCTTCCCCATTAACTGCTGTATAGTATATATGGAAAAGCTGTTTACAATAAGCACAAAGCTTTTTACGGCAATCTGCATTCAACAGGAATCATTTGAATCCACAGTTAAATTTTAAATGCAGAATCATAAAGCAAAACATCTTCACCATCTAAGTATCAACTCAGGCTGCTTTTTGATCATTTCCAAGGATATCCCATTAATTATTTACAAACATTACACGTATACATACATTATATATGTGTATGTATGCGTAAATAATATATACCATGATGCAGACAGCAAAGTTCTTCCATGCTTTGTAGTCTTTTCCTTATTTTTCCTCTTTTGGTGGCTGTTTATTTCTTTTCTTTTTCTTTTGGGGAGGGAGGCAGAATTCCATCATACACATCACAAGTTCATGATTCTTGAAACTCAATATAAAGATAAAAAAGACTTGAACAGAACTTAAATTTTACGTTCCACAATTAATTTCTATTACTCAGGAACCAATCCTAATATAAAAAAAATTAATAAATAAGAGATCTAACCGAAACACGTAAGTATCATTTGTCACAGTTTGACAGTGGTTCCATTCCGTAGCAGTGCATCAACAAAATGTTGAAACAAAGATGTATCTCATGCTACATGAAAGTACAACAAGCACCTAGAGCAATAAATATTGTGGTTTAAAAAAGCCCAGATTGGGAAAGTAGACCTGAAAAACGCTGCGAGAAATTGTCCTGGAAAATTGCGGTTTGAGATTTTAAGTGTTTGGCATTGCTGTGAAACAATGTTGTGTAAAGTTAAAATGTCAAAAGAGGAAATGACGTTGAAAATTAAAGAATAAGCCATTTTCAATACTATTTGAGTAAATTATTATTAAAATTTAGCAAAAAATAAATTATTGTGAAGTTTAATTTTAAAAATTTGTACAAAAGAACACTTATGATTTTCTTAAAAATTTTAAATTACTTCAAGCTAGAAACTAAATAGTTATATTCCCTCTATATTTTCATTTTAAGTTCAAAATATGTCAATTTGAAAATATAAAAGGTTGTTGCTTACTTCAAGCTCAGTTGGTAGACAGACTGATGGAAGAAGATGAAGAAATTAATTGAAGGGTAATTTTATCATATTTCAGAATAGGAACGGGTATTCAGTACTTTCCTCTCCAAACTATGGGTTGCAAATCACAAAAGCACATTGGAGGTGATTGTGCCGTTGGTTCAAAAATTGCTACCAAAAAATTTCTTTTGCACTTAAACCATGGTGTGTTTGGCATTGTATTGGCCACCAAAAGCTGCATTTGGGGAGCCAAATGCAATGCCAAACCACCTCTAAGCCTTTTATTACAAGCATAAATGTTCTTTAGATCAACTTGTCCTGGGATGTGTACCATAACATTCCACAAGGTAGATAAAGAAAGCAGTAAAATAGTTAACAAGAGGGATACCATACCATCGCAGATGTGTCTAAATGCCAAAGCAGCAGCTGCTGCAGAATCTTCAGAGTTACGCATGCCGCTCATGAGGATATCAATCACCAAAGGCAATTTAGAGAAACCACTTGGTGCAGCATCAAGCCACTTAGAGTATGCTCCAATGATTAAGCAAACTGACATATTTTACATACACATCACTCTTGATTAGCGAGGGTGAATTCAGATAACAGACTATAAAATTTAAAAATAGTTAGAACACTACTTTGCAATCTTTATAGCTGTGCCTCTTCAAGACTGGCCAGATGAGAGCAGGCATTTTGGACTTAGAACACATCCATTAGCCTTGGAAGGGCATGTTCACCATCTCCAACCCACATTGACCTTGTCCCCAGTTTGGGGGAGGAAAAGAAGATAAATTCACAGATTATGAAGCGATAGATTACCTGTTTGAAGCAGCTGGGCCTGATGAGGAAGTTTAGAAAGCAAATCCATAACCTGCAAGAGCAATGACACCACAAAATGTGTATTCTATGGATTATAAAGTAACATATGATTTCAAAACATAAGTGCAAATAAGCTGACAGCAAAATTCAAAGATCATACACAATTAGCACTTCTCAAGTTTGGACTTTCATGTAGTAAAACTCTCAGACTGCCAATGATTTCCAGAGTACAATAGTACCAGAAGAGCTATATAACTTGTAGGAAATTATATTTTTCATATTATAGGCGACTCAAATTGAACATTACTCAATACTACAGATGCATATATGAAAACATAGAGATGGAAGATAATGTTAAGATCCCAACCAAACTAACAGCTTCTCACTTCCAGGGACAATATCAATATGATGTATTAAAACAGAAAGCACATAGGAGGAATCTAAGGATCATTCATACCTGAGGCATCACATTTGCTTCAACAACAGAAACATAATTTGATATAGCTCGAATGCAAAATAAAGCAGCCTCAGCCGGACGCCATTCACTGTGTTCGTTCCCACAGCAAGATATAGCCTTGGTAATACAAAAAAGAGAACTCAATTTAGCATTATGGACTTTCTAATGGATCATAGCGTCAGTAAGAGAGTAAATTGCAGTTCTAAATTTCCTTGAAAGGCCAATCAAAATTAAGTTGTATAGACAAAACTAAACCTCCACCTTCTTCCAAATTGTTTCCTACTCTGCAAATATTATTCTTGGCAAATATGACACAAGTTCCAAAAATATGCATATAGTTACAATACCAAGATTGTAATCATTTAAAAGAAAATGGAAATGATGAAAATCAGTGATCAAAAGTTTTCGAGCAATTTATTGATCCTCATTCAAAAGCACCAAGATGGCCATTGGAACTTGGTCAAAATCACCAGACCAGGCCACAAGATGCCATGGAACTTTGCCCAAGTCACCACAGATCAGGTCCCACGTAGCACCAAGAAAAACTTAGGTTGTTTACATTGCAACCAAAGCAAGTAATAAATACCTCTACAAGCTTCATGTACAGAATTTGCAGTGTCGCATCACCACCTAAAACTGAAGCTGCATCACTTAACACATCCGCAACAGCTAGCATCACAACAGATCCCGTCAGGGTCTCATCAAAGCCAAAA